CATCTTGAATACAGGGATCTAGAGATGATTTAAGCACCAATGGAGGATTTCAAATCCAGACAGCTATGAAACATGCGAACTCTGTGGATACCTCATTTTCTAAAGATGTTTTAAATTCCATAGCAGGTACTGGAGACCTTCTGAGAACACTTGTGTTTAGCACTCATCCACGTCGACATTGTATACCACTGTGCTTTTTACCCAGTCCATAATTCATTATGCATAATCCATATGGCAAAGTATACATTTGTACAACTGAAGAGTCTGAATGCCAACCAGTAACTTCCTCTTCTAGTGTTCACTTTTACTTACCTTAAGAAGCATTCTACTCAGGTATTATCCAGTCGCTTCATTCTGGAAACAGTCTTTAAGTTTTCATGGCATACAGCATTTCAAAATAAAATAGCTCTTCAGTTTCAAAGATTATTTTTAAGAAGTATTTTGAAAATGACATTTTAATTTCTCATGAACTGTCAAAAGCTCCTTCTCAAAGTATCTTCATGAACTTTTACTAAAGCATTTTTAGAACGAGAGCTATCTTTCTACAAAGAGCATTTTAAGAAACCAAAGGAACATGCTTTATTTCCACTGGTAATGGTCCAAATTCTCCTAAGTCTTTAATGGCCATTCAATTAATATTTAAAATGTTGCATATCATTAATGCCGATCCCAGACTCTGTTATGTTCGCCTTTCACAACATAGCTACCACCTCAATAATCAATATCTTTTTGGTTCATCATTTCAGCTTTTTTTTTTTGTACCCATACATCTCATTACCATATGTGTGCTGTGGCTTGTGTTTACAGCATTTTCATCAATAGCTATTTCTACAGTAAACCATGCTGACTCCAGAGCCTCCTTAGCAAGTCTTGACTCCAATCCCAGTACCAATGAGAAGAGCAGCGAGAAGACGGACAACTGTGAAAAGGTGCGACTTCCCTCCCAGACTGACCAGTTGTCATGATTCCAAGTGACAAGTCTCTTCCTCTTACTCAGGCATTCTCGGCTCCTTCATTTCTAGATCCCACGACCCTTGTCTTTGATTGGCTCAACTCTTCGGTTCGACAAGTTAGATCAAGCAGAAACCAGGAGTCTCCTTATGTGCTTTCTTCACATTATGAAAACGATTTCAGACGGTAAAGAGAACTCTTTAAAATTAAATTTTTTNTTTTTTGAAAAAGCAAAGTTTGAATTTTAAAGAGTCTTATGCCCCACGGTGTTTCCTTTTAGAGACTCTCATTGCCTACTGGCAGAGAGCACCCAGTCCGGAGGTGTCCGACTTCTTCAGCATCTTGGAGTAAGTTATACAGTTGATTAGATAACACTTTTTTTCTGGAACCTTCACAACATCAGACTGTACCCCATAAGCATGCACAATTACAATGTGTAAATTAAAATATTTTTTTATTGAAACAGTTGATTGTACATATCTATGGAGTACACTTAAATATCAATACCTGTGTGCAATATGTGATGCTAAAATCAAGATAATTAGTATATTCAAAAATAAACAAATGAAAAAAGAAAGCTATGACAGTCACAATGATATGTTGAACTTTCAAAAGCAGAGAATAGAACTGAGGTTACTGGAGGTGGGAAGAGGTGGGGGGCGATAAAGGAGGAATTGGTAAAGGGCCACAGAAAAACGATTACATTGTGTAATGCTGAATAAAATAAATTTTTTTAAAAAGTTTTTTTATGGGCCGGCCC